ACAGTTAAATTGTCAGTTCAGATGATAGTAAGAAAACCTTATAATTTCATTGTCTGATATTGAATTTATCTACCAACAAAAGTTACCACTATTGTCAGATAGTTTTATGACAAAAGATGTCAGATCCTATTTTAGCTGCAATGTACAGTGTTGCCAATAGAAATAATTTAACTGACAATTGTGCCATGGTTAGATGCATAAAATTCGCACATCTGAGAATAAAAATTGGCAGACGATTATCTGACAATGACAACGTAATCTGTTTACACGATTGTCAGATGTCAGAGAATATTATTGTTTTACAATGTACTGACAATGATTTATATGTTGTAACAAAAAAAATTATAAGTTCACACCGTTGTTAGACATTTCTGTGACAATCGCTTTACATTTAATATTGTGTCTGTTGTTTAGTCGCCCAACGCTTTCATTGTAAATCTCTTGGCAACTTCCAAGTCTCTTTTAAAGAAATATGACAAATGTTTTTGTTCGCAAAATTGTTATTTTACACAAACAAAAATAAAGTAAAAACAAAATTAAATGAATCATTGAACTTTTTACTCAATTTATTCTCTTTTTTTATTAATACAATTTAAAAGTACACTCTCAATCTCTAATTAAAAAAAAAAAAAAAAAAAAAAAAACAAATAAAATCAAATTGAAAAGCCACCTTAACACTTGGTTTTGGTTTATATTGTTAATAATTAAAAAAATATATTTAATAATTTTTTATTAGTATTTTATTATCTCTTTTTGCTGAAGTTCGCAGTTTAAAAAAACTCACGCGATTTTTTTGTTTTTGTATAGTTTGCCCATAAAAAGCAACTTAAGTGGAGGCCTTTTTTCGCATTTCTTTGTTTTGAGTTTTTTTTAAAAAACTTTTTGTTTAAATGTAATTGGAAAGTCTTATGAAATAATAAATTGCAAATGAATAGTTTGTCAATTAACGTAAAAACTAAACGTTTCAAAAAAACTGCCTACATAAGTAAGACTTTGTTTTAAAGAGACTTAAATAAATAGAAATTTAAGTTTGAATAGTATGAGAATAAGTATTTAGGCAACTCACAGTTAAAGTTGTATAGTGGTAGTTGCTATTAATAGAATTTAATAACAAACTTTTAAAATTAAAAAAATTTAAAAAAAATAATCTGAAACCCTAATAGTTTGCTGGTTTGGTAACAGTAATATTGTAATATAAAACTTTTAATTAAATTTAAAACTATTAGTTCATTGACACTTTTTCTAAACTTTTTTATACAATTGCATATCAATTGCAACTAAAAAATCCCCTTAAATAAACAAATTGTCAACGTTATCAAAAAAAAAAAAAAAAAAAAAGTTTAAAAAAGTATAACGCAGTAAAAAATAACGACAAAAATATATACATACATATAAAAATTTAAAATAATTAAACCATATGCAATATACTATCTATGCCTATGTAGCAAAAGGAATAATAATAAAATCAATAATAAAAATTTTAACAAAATAACATTGCATTTTCCATAAACTCATAGTGACAATCAAAATTTAAGAAAAAATCGTTTTTTTTTTAATAATAAAAGTGAACGAATTGTTTTTAGAACATGAAATAATTTTAGCATTTTTTTGTTTCGATTAATTTTGAGTTGCACTCTTTTTTTTTCGTTGTTAAACAATGACAATTGAGGTCATTAGCAATAAATTTTAAAAATAAACAATTTATTACAATGAAAATTGTTACTAAAAGTTTTTAGCAGAAAATATTAAAAAATAATAAATAAACAGAAAAAAAAAAATTTAAATATTTTAAATCTTATTAAATTTGCTCAAGAACATCCAGTTTTGTTTTATACTACATATAGCAAATGATTTAATAACTTATGAATATTTATCGCTGATTTACTACAACACTGAAATAACTCAAAATTCAGACTTTTTAAACAAAAATCATCCAAAAATATTTTATAAAGTTTTATCTATTTTCTAAAATTTGCGCTTGTAATAGTTAAATTTTATTATTTTAACTGTCACCCCATTGTGCATTGACTGCAGCACTAATGTTTGCTTTGAATTGAATTGCTAGTGCATTGAAAAGAAAGAAATAAAAAAACTGCTGCTTACTTTAGTATGTGTGCAAAAAAAAAAACTATTTTTATAATAAAAAAAAAAATTAAATGCATAAACGTTTTAATAACTAAAAGTGTGTAGGAAAACTGAAACAAAATAAATATTTTAAATACACACTTTTCAGATGAGCATTGCCCTCAATTTATATTAAAAATATATGTCCAATTCACAATCGCTGACGTATCATTGTATGTCATAAAAATGTTTAAATTGGACAATTGTATTGTATTCAATATGAAATTTTTAGTAAATAAAAAAATATACTCTTTAAAAATCCAAAGTTGTTTATCTAATCTAGCCATAATTAACTAGTAATTAATTTCCTTTTATGAGACCTTACATTTAAGTTTATTTCTAAATTTCATTCCTGCTTCCTAATAATTCCATTTAAAAAGTTTTTCTGACAGTTTTATTGTCTTCAAAATTTTCCGCTTAAATTTATACATAAATATGTATTATTATAAATGTAATAATTAAGTACATCTAACGATTTGTTTGAGATTGCTGAAGTATTCGTTTGTTTTATGAGTATTATTATTGATTTCTATTATAATATACAATTATAAAATCACCTTTACTACCTGTTTTCCCATATTGAGAGTCGAGTGTATAGATACTAAACTAAAGTAGACACAAATAATTTACATATCGTATCGTAATTGTTAAAGTTAATACTCATGTCTCTATTACGATAATATTTATTGATTTGTAGTGATAGAGGGTGGGTGGTATTTGCCACAGTTACCGATTACTGTGAGTTACATACAATTTGTAAACACATCCTTCACTTTAGGATGGAAAATTTGAATTAGTATTATTTATAACATCACCATTACTAGTCTGTAGTCTAGTCTATAGACTAGACTATAGACTACCATAGACTATCAAATATACTATATAGAATATACTATACACTAGTCTATAGACTAGACTATAGACTAGATTATAGACTAGATTATAGACTAGACTATAGACTAGACTATAGACTAGACTATAGACTAGACTATAGACTAGACTAGACTAGACTAGACTATAGACTAGACTATAGACTAGACTATAGACTAGACTATAGACTAGACTATAGACTAGACTAGACTATAGACTAGACTAGACTATAGACTAGACTAGACTATAGACTAGACTATAGACTAGACTATAGACTAGACTATAGACTAGACTATAGACTAGACTATAGACTAGACTATAGACTAGACTATAGACTAGACTATAGACTAGACTATAGACTAGACTATAGACTAGACTATAGACTAGACTATAGACTAGACTATAGACTAGACTATAGACTAGACTATAGACTAGACTATAGACTAGACTATAGACTAGACTATAGACTAGACTATAGACTAGACTATAGACTAGACTATAGACTAGACTATAGACTAGACTATAGACTAGACTATAGACTAGACTATAGACTAGACTATAGACTAGACTATAGACTAGACTATAGACTAGACTATAGACTAGACTATAGACTAGACTATAGACTAGACTATAGACTAGACTATAGACTAGACTATAGACTAGACTATAGACTAGACTATAGACTAGACTATAGACTAGACTATAGACTAGACTATAGACTACTAGGTCGATTGCGTATCAAAAGGTTATAAGTAAGAAAATATATCAAACATGTCGAAGTACCGAAAAAAGTATTAAGTACTGAAGTTTCCGTGCCTGCTTCACTTCCTAAATGTAGTATGTTGAGAGAATTGAATTTAAGGCGAAAGCAAATTGAAAATATGATTAAAAATTATTGAAAATATGATTAAATGCCTGAACGTAATTTTTGTCCCAATATGTTTTTGTACTATATTTAATGTCGATTTGCTAACAAAATATGTTTCTAGAAAGCACCAGGATCATAAATTTTAGGACCGCATTTAGGTTCTATAATGTAAATGATGAGATTTTTTATTAAACTGGATTTTTTGAAGACCTAACGAATTCTGAGTTCCCACTTGAAAGCCTTTAGGCTAGACTAGACTATAGCCTTTAGGCTAGACTAGACTATAGACTAGACTATAGACTAGACTATAGACTAGACTATAGACTAGACTATAGACTACTAGGTCGATTGCGTATCAAAAGGTTATAAGTAAGAAAATATATCAAACATGTCGAAGTACCGAAAAAAGTATTAAGTACTGAAGTTTCCGTGCCTGCTTCACTTCCTAAATGTAGTATGTTGAGAGAATTGAATTTAAGGCGAAAGCAAATTGAAAATATGATTAAAAATTATTGAAAATATGATTAAATGCCTGAACGTAATTTTTGTCCCAATATGTTTTTGTACTATATTTAATGTCGATTTGCTAACAAAATATGTTTCTAGAAAGCACCAGGATCATAAATTTTAGGACCGCATTTAGGTTCTATAATGTAAATGATGAGATTTTTTATTAAACTGGATTTTTTGAAGACCTAACGAATTCTGAGTTCCCACTTGAAAGCCTTTAGGCTTTAAAATTCTTTTCATAATTTTTAATATATTTTCCACACAACTGTATGAATCAGTGGGAGTATATGTGACAAATGTACCCAGCAAAAACTCGGTAATGACTTGCACTAACATTATCACTTCATTTAATTTTAACTTTTTACTTTTACATATAAGTTTTTGCTGGGTATGTACTACTTTTATTATAGATGTGTCTGGAATATAATTTTACACAACTATTTAAAACAGAGGGAAGATAATTGGAAGGAAGAAAAATCATCAATTATAATATAGCTGTTACCTTAGAAATTAATAAAAAAAAATTGTCTCAGATATTCCCCCCAACAACTCTAATATCATATCAATCAAAAGTTATATATTTGTTTTTTGTTTGTTTTGAAAATAAAAGACAATAAATAAAATTTACCTCTTTAGTTAATTCCACTGTATTGATGAAAGGACTTAAATCTACATCACTATCTGTGGCAGCTTCTACGCCACTGTCTTCGGCTGACTCATCGGGTTCTTCTTTCTTAACTGAAACTTGTTCAATGGCCACCTGATCCGTTGACAAAGCAGTAACTGCTCTAGTATCCATAACACCCATTAATAAGGCCTTATCATCTTCATCATCTAATTGTTCTAATTTAATGCCAACTTCTTCGTCGGGATTAGGAAAAGTATCATTTAAAGCTACTGCACCTTCTGATTCGGAAGTAGATGCTGAGCTACGTATGGTGGGTAGAAAAGCATCTAATTGTAAATCAAATAGATTATTATCCTGTTGGCCATCTTTTAACGGCAAATTGCCATAATGAGAATTCAATATAGGCAAGTCATTGAAATCGTTTAGATCGGCCAAATTTTGTTCCCATACCGAACGGTGATCTTGAAAATTTTCCGCATTTAAAAATAATTCCATTTCAGAGTTGTCCAAGTTATTGATATGACTTGCATTCGTGGCCCCCGGAGCGGTAACGACAGAACTAACTGTAGCCGTGCTAGAATCTAGTGCAGACGAACTTGTTGTTGTTGCTGAAGAACCTGAAGAGGGATTGTTATTTGAGGATGTGGCTGGTATAGCTTGCATTTCTTGCATGGCCGCCGTTTGATTGGAATTTTCATTGGAGACATTTAGCAAATATGCTGTAACATTGTACTGATTCGCCAGATGATCACTTTGTCGATCGAAACGTATTAAATCCTCAATTAAAGGCATCATAGTCTTGCGATTGGCATATGGATATTCCACCATGGGCACTGCCCGTAACATTTCCAATTCCCAACCATCGCCATCCCGTAGCTCTAGTTGGGAATCCCAGTTACGCAGTCTTTGCTGCAAATAATTGTCGGGATCCACATTCAGCAGACTTAAGGCCAAAGCCAATTGCAACATTTTCATTGCGTATTTTTTATTCGAGATCATTTTGAATGATGCGTTTTATTTATAGCTAAAGGAGAATGAGGAGGATGTTTGTGGGAGGTCACTCTCGCTGCGTTTGTTTTATTGTGGATTGTTTTTAACAATAACAATTTTTGTAGTTGTTATTGTTGCTGATGTTGTTGTTCAGAAGAATTAAGGCCGCGTAGGCGTAAAACAAAGCCAAATTGTTTGGAAAAACTGACCGACCTCCTACCCCTTAATGTATAAAATGTATGATACACTGTTTTCCGAACTGTTCCACAGTTCAATAACGTTGTCTTCTCCTTGTTTGGATTTAACGATTGTTTTTTTTTTGTTTTCTTTCCTTAATCAAATGTTGTATTTCTCAAATAATTACTTTTCTTTAGCTGCGTCCAGAAATGCGTCAACAGCAACGGTAGTTTGTATTCCTCGTTATAACTTTTGGAACGCAATATTTGTACTGTTGTTGTTATTTATTTTACTTCCTAAAGAAGCATTTATTGGTCTTTTGTTTTATTTCTTTCAATTTTAAATATTTTTTTTTCTTAATTCTGTTTTTATTTTGCTTCTTATTTGGTTTTAATAAATAACAATGACCTCCTTGGCCAATAAATGGCCCCGAGCTTGTGTCTGTATTTAATGATTTTGACAACGTATCTGTTTTTGTATTTTTTTTTGCTTTGATTTAATAGTTGTTATTGTTTTTGTAAAATTTGCCAAAAATTATACGGTAAAATCTAAAACGAGATAAATAAGAAGAAAGAGAAAATTACTAAAAGTCTGATTATTAATTGATTTGAATAGAATCGTTAGATTCGCGTGAGTTTGCATGAATATGTATGAAAGTCGTTATTTAGCTTTTTTCTTTTGTATATAATTAACTGAATTTAAGTTATTCGAAACTTCATGTATGTATATGAATTTTGCATAGAGTCAAACATTGTGATTTATGTTTAGAATTAGTAAGTTAATGAAGTTAGGATGATTTCACCTAAACATTATTAGCAGCGACCTTATTCGAGTATATTTTTAATATTTGATTGGAACATAAAAACAATAATTGGGAAAGCCCTATTTAAAATCCAATAGATTTTTTGTTATTAGTACAACAGAAAATGAACTTTTGCTATATAAAATATTTAGAAAATGTAGTCTGATTTTGACTAATATTTCTATAGGAAATGTATTCGGATTTTGACAAATTGTCCTATAAAAATATAGTCAGATTCTAACTAATTTTCATATAGAAAATATAGTCAGATTGTGACTAATTTTCTTATAGAAAGTATAGTCAGTTTCTGACTATATATAAAAATGAATGTGTGTTTGGACTTTATAGACAGCTAAACGGCTAGACCAATTTTTCTGAAATTTTTACAATGTCGTGGGCGGAGTAGCAACAGGGGCGTTGCTATCTATCTATCTATCTATCTATCTATCTATCTATCTATCTATCTATCTATCTATCTATCTATCTATCTATCTATCTATCTATCTATCTATCTATCTATCTATCTATCTATCTATCTATCTATCTATCTATCTATCTATCTATCTATCTATCTATCTATCTATCTATCTATCTATCTATCTATCTATCTATCTATCTATCTATCTATCTATCTATCTATCTATCTATCTATCTATCTATCTATCTATCTATCCATCTGGGCGTGGCACCATCCATATTAAGAAAATAATAAGTCAGTATATCTGAGAAAATATAACAGTTAGAGTGCTCAAATTTTGTCGGAGCCACTTTAGTATCAATATGATTATTTAGAACGAAACGTGTGCGGACTAGTAACAGGGGCGTGTCACTTTCCATATGAATTAAATACAAAAATTCATTTAACTTGAAAACTATGGGAGTTAGAATCTTCAAATTTTGCACGAAGAACTTTAACATTTTGGGTAATAAATTGGTGGACTACCAATAGAAGAGGGGCACCCCCCATATGAACTAAATATAAAAATTCGTTTATTTGGGATACTAATCGAACTACATTCTTCAAATTTTGCAAGAAAAACTTTTATATTCATCTGAATATTTTATGAAATAAGGAGGACTTTCATAAGGGGAGGGAGTCTTGGAACCCCCATATGAATTAAATGGAAAAATTCATATATCTGAGAAACTATTATAGCTAGAATCTTCAAATTTTACATGAAGAATTTTGATATTCATGTGAACATTTAGAAAAAAATGGGTGGAATATCAATGGGGGCTTGTCACCTCAAATATGAATTAAATACAAAATTTTGTATATCCTGGAAATTATAAGATTATTCACATTTTTCATAGGCTATATTAAAATTTTAATTAACTTTTTTTAATTAAACTTGGCAAACTTTGCGTGGTATCTTTGCAATAATTTGCGTGGTATCTTCCATATGTCAAAAATTGTATATCTGTAAAACTATTATAGTTAGGATGTTAAGTGGGTTTTTTTTTTATTTAATTGCTTTTAGGGTAGCAAAGCACACTGGGTATAGCTAGTTTATTTAGAAAATAATCTTAAATTTTTTCACCTTACATCAAACATTGAACTTGAAATATATTAGAATATAGTCCTTAATCTTTAAAAATGTGTAATTTTATTAAATTCTAAATTTATTGTTTATTTATTAATAAAATTGTTTGATTTATATAAACAAAATATCGCAATATAACAAATTTAAATTTAATTATGGAGCCTAAAGGAAAAAGAGGAATGCACATTTTTAACAAATAAATTATAATCGATTTTATTTTAAAAAGAAATCCAAAATGCAAAATAAATTTATAAACAAAGCAAATTTAAATATAAATAATTTTAAAGGCACATGATCAATTTTAAAAGATTATTTAGGTGGTATGTATTATTTTTCCTTTTTTTGTGAGGTTGCTAAACTTTAAACATATTGTTGAACAAGGTTAAGGTTGGGGTTACTTTGGTTTTAAAAATGAAAAGTATTTTAACATTAAAGAAAATATAAAATTTCGGTTATATTTGTAAGAAAAAATTTTTAATTATAATTTTAAAAAATGTTGTTGTTAAATGTGTCATTTTAAAAATAGAACCATGAGAATGTTTACCTCCAACAAAATGCAGATTTTTTATGGCAGAAATTTAAACAAAGAACATTTTAATGTGGTAGATGATGGAGGTCAATGTTTGATATATTCAGGATTGTAGAATAACGCCCTATTGTGTTTGTAGTTAAGAGCCTATTCGAAAATTTGGCAAATAATTATTTTTTCTAATTTAACTTATTTAATTCTACTGTTTGTTTTCTTATTTCATTTTATTCGACTGTAGATATCATGTAAAACTAAATGTTGATGATCTCATCGATCTCATCAAATCATGATTTACTCCATTTACTTTACTACCTACATACGCAAATGTTCTACATTACAATAATCAACTTGCTTTTTTAGTACATATATAGTCTTGCCTTCTCCAACACATTTCATATCGAGCCACTATATTCAAAAAGTGCTAACTCAAAAAAGTCTATTTACACGGATACACAAGCTCAAAAGTTAATATTTTCATTACAAATTTGTACCAGACGTGCATAATGCCTTGAAAAATCTTTTGCCCTCAAAAATTCACTTTGGCCCAAGATTGAGTTAGCACTTTTTGAATATGGGAAGTCGATATAGAAAGTATTTAAATGACTGACTACGTTCCGTAAAGAAGTTAAATTTTTAAAGAAAACGTTTTATTTATTGCATTATCATGGCAAGAGGTCCTTTTATGTGAACTTAGGTCAATTATGGTCTGAACTCTTTTTCTGGAAATCCACTTATTAAAAATTTTAAATTTGCTTTTCTAAAATTTTTTGACCCGGAAGTTGCAAAATCGAGAGATCCTAGAGAGAGAGATAGATAGATATAGAGAGAGAGAGAGAGCCGAGAGGAGGAGAGAGAGAGAGAGAAGAGAGAGAGAACCAGCGAGCGAGGAGCGAGCCGAGCGATCGAGAGAGCGAGCGAGCGAGGAGCGAGCGAGCGAGCGAGCGAGCGAGCGAGCGAGCGAGCGAGCGAGGGGCGAGCGAGCGAGCGAGCGAGCGAGCGAGCGAGCGAGCGAGCGAGCGAGCGAGCGAGGGCGAGCGGGCGAGGAGCGAGCGAGCGAGCGAGCGAGCGAGGAGCGAGCGAGCGAGAGCGAGCGAGCGAGCAGCGAGCGAGCGAGCGAGCGAGAGAGAGAGCGGAGCGAGCGAGCGAGCGAGCGAGCGAGCAGCGAGCGAGCGAGCGAGCGAGAGCGAGCGAGAGAGCGAGCGAGCGAGCGAGCGAGCGACGGAGCGAGAGCGAGCGAGCGAGCGAGCGAGCGAGCGAGCGAGCGAGCGAGCGAGCGAGCGAGCAGCGAGCGAGCGAGCGAGCGAGCGAGCGAGCGAGCGAGCGAGCGAGCGAAAGAGCGAGCGAGCGAAAGCGCGAGCGACCGAGCGAGCGAGCGAGCGAGCGAGCGAGCGAGCGAGCGAGCGAGCGAGCGAGCGAGCGAGCGAGCGAGAGCGAGCGAGCGAGCGAGCGAGCGAGCGAGCGAGCGAGCGAGCGAGCGAGAGCGAGCGAGCGAGCGAGCGAGCGAGCGAGCGAGCGAGCGAGCGAGAGAGCGAGCGAGCGAGCGAGCGAGCGAGCGAGGGAGCGAGCGAGCGAGGAGCGAGCGAGCGAGCGAGCGAGAGCGAGCGAGCGAGCGAGCGAGCGAGCGAGCGAGCGAGCGAGCGAGCGAGCGAGCGAGCAGCAGCGAGCGAGCGAGCGGCGAGCGAGCGAGCGAGCGAGCGAGCGAGGCGAGCGAGCGAGCGAGGAGCGAGCGAGCGAGCGAGCGAGCGAGCGAGCGAGCGAGCGAGCGAGCGAGCGAGCGAGCGAGCGAGCGAGCGAGCGAGCGAGCGAGCGAGCGAGCGAGCGACGAGCGAGCGAGCGAGCGAGCGAGCGAGCGAGCGAGCGAGCGAGCGAGCGAGCGAGCGAGCGAGCGAGCGAGCGAGCGAGCGAGCGAGCGAGCGAGCGAGCGAGCGAGCGAGCGAGCGAGCGAGCGAGCGAGCGAGCGAGCGAGCGAGCGAGCGAGCGAGCGAGCGAGCGAGCGAGCGAGCGAGCGAGCGAGCGAGCGAGCGAGCGAGCGAGCAGCGAGCGAGCGAGCGAGCGAGCGAGCGAGCGAGGAGCGAGCGAGCGAGCGAGCGAGAGCGAGCGAGCGAGCGAGCGAGCGAGCGAGCGAGCGAGCGAGCGAGCGAGCGAGCGAGCGAGCGAGCGAGCGAGAGCGAGCGAGCGAGCGAGCGAGCGAGCGAGCGAGCGAGCGAGCGAGCGAGCGAGCGAGCGAGCGAGCGAGCGAGCGAGCGAGCGAGCGAGCGAGCGAGCGAGCGAGCGAGCGAGCGAGCGAGCGAGCGAGCGAGCGAGCGAGAGAGAGCGAGCGAGCGAGCGGCGAGCGAGCGAGCGAGCGAGCGAGCGAGCGAAGCGAGCGAGCGAGCGAGCGAGCGAGCGAGCGAGCGAGCGAGCGAGCGAGCGAGACGAGCGGAGCGAGCGAGCGAGCGGGAGCGAGCGAGCGAGCGAGCGAGCGAGCGAGCAGCGAGCGAGCGAGCGAGCGAGCGAGCGAGCGAGCGAGCGAGCGAGCGAGCGAGCGAGAGCGAGCGAGCGAGAGCGAGCGAGCGAGGGCAGGAGCGAGCGAGCGAGCGAGGAGACGAGCGAGCGAGCGAGCGAGCGAGCGAGCGAGCGAGCGAGCGAGCGAGAGAGCGAGCGAGCGAGCGAGCGAGCGAGCGAGCGAGAGCGAGCGAGCGAGCGAGCGAGCGAGCGAGCGAGCGAGCGAGGAGCGAGCGAGCGAGCGAGCGAGCGAGCGAGCGAGCGAGCGCGAAGCGAGCGTAGCGAGCGAGCTAGCGAGCGAGCGAGCGAGGCGCGCGGAGCGAGGAGCTATCTAGGCAGCGTCGCTATCGATCGAGCGAGCGAGCGAAGCTAGCGAGGCGAGCTAGCTAGCAGCTAGCGAGCGTAGCGAGCGAGCTAATCGAGCTAGGATGCTGAGCTATCTATCTAGCTATCCTCTATTGGCATCTTCTAGCTATCTATGCTATCGTATCTAATCTATGCATCGATCTATCTAGTCTAATCTATCTAATCCTATCTGATCAGGATCTATCTCTCTATCTATATTATTAATCTATCTATCTATCATCATCTATCTATCTATCATCTATTATCTCCTCTCTTTTTCTAGGCATCTCTATTGTTTTTGAAAAGACTGATGGATGTGGCTAGATCGTCTTAAAATCTATTAAAAACCAGAACCTACAAACACCCGGAGAAACCAAGCTAATATTCTTTTACCGCATAAATATTTAAATTTAAAGCATGAATGTATGTAAAAAAACATGAAGATACATTAAAAAACAAAGAGTTCACTTACCTTTTTTTTATTGTTGTCGCTGTGGCTGCTATTGCTGAAGAAGAATTACAAGCTGTAGACACGCATAAATTATTTATAATGATTATTTAAAGAAAATAAAATGTTGCCGCTTTTACTAAAGATGAAAATTATTGAAGTATAAATTGCGTAGTTGTTTTTTTTCTTTTGGTTAAATTTCTAATTTACAATTATTTCTCTTTATCCAAAATAAATTAATAAATATTTACTCTGTTTGAAAATTGTATAATAAATTTAAAAAATAACGTTAAAAACACAAAGAAAGAAATAGAAATTGTTTAAAAATAAAAGGGGAGGAGAGTAAAAGTTAAAGAAAATCAACAATTCAATATGTATTATAACACTTTTCTATTGTTTGTTGTTATTTTTAATGAAATTATTTTATTAACTTTATATATTTGTTGTTATGATATTTATACCAAAAGTGTGTCCTTGAACTTGAGCAATAAACTTTTCATTTAACAGGTTAATGGTTTAAAGGGAAGACGTGAGTGTGAATGTAGGAAAAAGGAAAGGAATAAAAATGTTAAATATTCGTGATTGTTGTTTGCTGATTTAATTTTTTTCTTAGCTATGACGTCTGTTTGTTATTATTTTTTCTGTGCTATTTTCAAATAAAAATCAATTATTTTTTTTTGTTTTGACGTTTATCAAATTTGTATTTACATATACAACTCTCGTTGTATTTTTGTATTAATTTTTTTTCTTAATTAATTTGCATTTTAATTATGGTCACTTGTGTTTTTCCGTATTTTTATTTATTTTAATTTTTTTATGCATAAAATTATTAACAAATAATTGTTGCTATTTACTTTGCACGCATTATCGCTAACTTTCCTTTTTATTGTGTTGCCGTGTGTGTTAGTGACATTTTTGGTCACTGTTTTTTAGAGCTTTTTGTTTTGCTTATTATTATTTTTATTTTTTATTGATTTCATGGTTTTTTTGTTTTGTATCGCTTCTATTTATTAAATAAATATTTTTGTTATTATAAAATTTGTTTTTAGCGAAATTTAGAAAAAACGCTGCAATATCGTTTTTGTTTTCATCACCATTATCTTTTTCAATATTTTGATTTTTTTGTTGTTTTTGTGCGTGTGTTTGTTTTAACCCTTTGTAGATCGGTTTAGAATTTTTTTTTTTTAATTTTTTTTTGACATCTCATTTGTCTGATAAGAAATATTGATAAATATTAATATTTTATATATTTTTTCAGATTTTTATGTTGTCAGATTTTGACTAGTTTTTCAATACAAAATTATGTCATATTATGACATGTATTTATGGACAAAATTTATTATATTATTTTGTGAGAATCTGATAAGTTTTTCTATAGAAAATTTTGTTAGATTTTGACTTGTTTTTGTATAAAAATTTTTGTTAGATTCATATTTAAGAAATTTAATGAAATTGTCAGAACCTAACTAGTTTCCCTACAAACATTATTGTCAGATTTTGCCAAATTTTTCTATAGAATATTTTGTCAGATTCCGACTAGTATTTCTAAGAAAATTTTGTCAGATACTGACTAGTTTTTCTATAGAAAATTTTGTCAGATTCTGACTAGTTTTTCTATAGAAAATTTTGTCAGATTCTGACTAGTTTTTATATAGAAAATTTTGTCAGATTCTGACTAGTTTTTCTATAGAAAATTTTGTCAGATTCTGACTAGTTTTTCTATAGAAAATTTTGTCAGATTCTGACTAGTTTTTCTATAGAAAATTTTGTCAGATTCTGTCTAGTTTTTCTCAGTGTTAGAAAAACTACGTTGCTACCAAGTATTATATTATTGCTTTAACTACTGCTCCAAACAATTGTCTGAAGTTGTAGCAGTAGCATTTGTTTTGTTTTATAATCATACGTTTTTAAAACTTTTGCTACTTATAAAAAGTAAATCTCAAAATATAGCAGTAGTAATAAAACAGTAGCAGTAGAAATATTTCTAAATAAAACATAAACTACAAATGGAGTAGTAGCTTAAAAATATTAATAATTCTATTGCTACTTTAAGTAGCAATAGAAATATTTGCTACTAGTTGATCGTTCTATTGCTACCAAATTATTGATGTAGCAATAGAATAAAACAAAAAACTTCGACAAAAAAAAAAAATAAACTAACAAATACACATATCTCAACGGGAAAAAGATTCAGTATAGGGGCCTTACTAAGGGCATTTTTCTATAGACACAAGTACATACAGCCGCATTGCAAAATCGTTTCAATTTTACATGCTTACTTAAAAAGGTCTTCCGTTAAAGGCTTTTTAGAAGATTTTCAGTCGAAGGATTTGTAAAATAGCCTTATAGGAAATTGCATTAATAATTATACATTAGAACTTATAAGAATTATATAAAGCAAATTTTCATACAAAATTTGATTCATAATTCTTTGATAAATGTGCAAGAATCCTTTTAGTAGAGGAAACAAAATCCTCCTTGAATATCTTTTGCGAAAAGGCAATGAGAAACTTTCATAATATATAAATATGTCTTCAGAAGGCCCACGAATCGAAGTCCTAGCATTTTTCCCCGCTACTTGTGCCTTTTTCTGAATGTCATAATTTTTTTTCGTATTTTAATAAAATTTTTATTTTTTTATGCTACCAAAATTTATGTAGCATTGCTACCAAATTGTTTATTGTTGAAAAATATAATATCGTTTATTGCTACTTCAGGAAAATCTTTACTGCTACTATTTGAAGTATTCAACTGCTACATTAAAACATTTAAATACTAATGACTGTACTACTGCTATCAAACTTTTTATTTTTTTGCTACATCTATAAATACTGCTACCAAAATCTAAAGGTATCAGTAGTAATAGTAAATGATTTGCTGCTAGTTTTTGAACATTTTCAAACTACAAAAGTAGGTATTTTTCGTTACTACAGCTACTTGTAGTCTAGTTTTTTAAACACTGGTTTTTCTACAGAAAATTTTGTCAGATTCTGACTAGTTTTTCTACAGAAAATTTTGTCAGATTCTGACTAGTTTTTCTATAGAAAATTTTGTCAGATTCTGACTAGTTTTTCTATACAAAATTTTGTCAGATTCTGACTAGTTTTTCTATACAAAATTTTGTCAGATTCTGACTAGTTTTTCTATAGAAAATTTTGTCAGATTCTGACTAGTTTTTCTATAGAAAATTTTGTCAGATTCTGACTAGTTTTTCTATAGAAAATTTTGTCAGATTCTGACTAGTTTTTCTGTACAAAATTTTGTCAGATTCTGACTAGTTTTTCTATACAAAATTTTGTCAGATTCTGACTAGTTTTTCTATACAAAATTTTGTCAGATTCTGACTAGTTTTTCTATACAAAATTTTGTCAGATTCTGACTAGTTTTTCTATACAAAATTTTGTCAGATTCTGACTAGTTTTTCTATAGAAAATTTTGTCAGATTCTGACTAGTTTTTCTATAGAAAATTTTGTCAGATTCTGACTAGTTTTTCTATACAAAATTTTGTCAGATTCTGACTAGTTTTTCTATACAAAATTTTGTCAGATTCTGACTAGTTTTTCTATACAAAATTTTGTCAGATTCTGACTAGTTTTTCTATACAAAATTTTGTCAGATTCTGACTAGTTTTTCTATTGAAAATTTTGTCAGATTCTGTCTAGTTTTTCTACAGAAAATTTTGTCAGATTCTGACTAGTTTTTCTACAGAAAATTTTGTCAGATTCTGACTAGTTTTTCTATAGAAAATTTTGTCAGATTCTGACTAGTTTTTCTATACAAAATTTTGTCAGATTCTGACTAGTTTTTCTATACAAAATTTTGTCAGATTCTGACTAGTTTTTCTATTGAAAATTTTGTCAGATTCTGTCTAGTTTTTCTACAGAAAATTTTGTCAGATTCTGACTAGTTTTTCTACAGAAAATTTTGTCAGATTCTGACTAGTTTTTCTATAGAAAATTTTGTCAGATTCTGACTAGTTTTTCTATACAAAATTTTGTCAGATTCTGACTAGTTTTTCTATACAAAATTTTGTCAGATTCTGACTAGTTTTTCTATACAAAATTTTGTCAGATTCTGACTAGTTTTTCTATAGAAAATTTTGTCAGATTCTGACTAGTTTTTCTATAGAAAATTTTGTCAGATTCTGACTAGTTTTTCTGTACAAAATTTTGTCAGATTCTGACTAGTTTTTCTATACAAAATTTTGTCAGATTCTGACTAGTTTTTCTATACAAAATTTTGTCAGATTCTGACTAGTTTTTCTATACAAAATTTTGTCAGATTCTGACTAGTTTTTCTATACAAAATTTTGTCAGATTCTGACTAGTTTTTCTATAGAAAATTTTGTCAGATTCTGACTAGTTTTTCTATAGAAAATTTTGTCAGATTCTGACTAGTTTTTCTATACAAAATTTTGTCAGATTCTGACTAGTTTTTCTATACAAAATTTTGTCAGATTCTGACTAGTTTTTCTATACAAAATTTTGTCAGATTCTGACTAGTTTTTCTATACAAAATTTTGTCAGATTCTGACTAGTTTTTCTATACAAAATTTTGTCAGATTCTGACTAGTTTTTCTATAGAAAATTTTGTCAGATTCTGACTAGTTTTTCTATACAAAATTTTGTCAGATTCTGACTAGTTTTTCTATAGAAAATTTTGTCAGATTCTGACTAGTTTTTCTATAGAAAATTTTGTCAGATTCTGACTAGTTTTTCTATAGAAAATTTTGTCAGATTCTGTCTAGTTTTTCTATAGAAAATTTTGTCAGATTCTGACTAGTTTCTCTATAGAAAATTTTGTCAGATTCTAACTTGTTTTTGACTGACTACAGAAAATTTTGTCAGTTTCTGATTAGGTTTCTATAGAACAGTTTGTCTGTTTTTACTTAATTGCTTGCAAAGATTTTTTCTAGAGTAAATAGATTCTTAAAGGTCTTTAATGGGTTAATTCTTTATATTTCCTATGAATCATTATCTTATTACTAAATGTTTGTTTTTGTTTTATTTGACAGATGTTTGTGTTGTTGCACTTACTAGGTAATGTGCTGTTATTAAGTATTTTTTGTTTTTAATTTTACTCTTGTTCTTTATTTGAAGTTTTTCTTTGTTTTCCTTTTGTACACTAAAATTCTAAACAAATATTTATAGTTATGTTTTATAAAATTTATTATTTTACAAATTTTAGAAAAAACTAGTGGACATTTTAAGAAATATGAATATTTTTTCAATAAACCATAATTAAAGGTAAACCAGACTTTTGTTTTTTCTCACCACACATACCACGACACAAACACACAAACAATGCACAATTGGCGTACAAAAAAAAAAAATAAACAAAGTTTAAAAATAAAACATGATGGTTTTCGTTCATTTTTTCTGCTGGTTTGGTTTTAGTAAATATTTAGAATTAATATAGAAAAAAATGTAAAATAAAACACTAATCATAAATATGGGGTTGTTAAAACAAACTGGTTTACTTAATTATACTACGAGGTAAATAAATATATTGAGGTTTGGAGATAAGTTTATGAGTTTTAGAAATGAACGAAAAAAAAATGTGTGACAAATAGAAAATTTTTATTTCATAGAACTTTGGCAAATTTCAGATGGTGATTGATGCATTGATAAAGAAAATAAAAAAGAGCTTATTTATTTTTGTGTTAAACAAAGTTGCCACATCACGAGAATTTGTTTTGGAATAAGGAATTTTGATATGTAGGAATTTTAGAGTAAGGATCAAAAAAGTTAATTTCATAGTATTTTTGAATTATAAAGTGATCTAGTCTATAGTGCTTCATCTTGAACTTATTCAATATTGGTTGTTATCAGTACTCAAGCCATGCTGATTTAATTGTATTAGGGTTCATTAGCCATTTAATTTTAAATGATTAAAGCGGGGCTTTTTCAAACTTTATGATTTGATATCTAGAAAATCATGATATCTGAAGCTAGATTTAAAATAGTTTACTTTGGGATCTTTGTTATCGACTTTTTTTGAAATTTTATTGATCTATGGAATAGGAAATTCGCCCAGAATGTCTGACAATCGAACTTCTTAGCACCATATCTGTAAAATTGTTCAATTAAACTTTGTTGTTTTGTCTTATTTCAGAACTATTTTAGCAATTTGTTAGAAAAAATAGTTTCCAAAAGAGTGGTTATAGGGGTCAAGGGTAAATATTGACCTATACTTATAAATGTTAGTAGACAGATTTATTATTACTTTAATCTTATTTAGGCAGAATTTCATCTTGATAATAGTGTTTCTAAGTGAATTAATAACCTTGAAGTCATTTTCTGTAGAAAATTTTGAAAGGGCGGTAGAATGAGACCTAATCAAAAAGAAGATCATTTAACGTAATTATAAGCTCAAGAGATTTAAACGGAGGATAGGGCTATATAGGGGCTAGGTGAAATAATGTACCGATTTCAACAATTTTCACTGAGCAAAAAGAAAATTATGCGCCAAATTTCATTAAAATAAAAATTGACTGTAGCGTCCGACACACACACAGATAGATATAGTTTTATCGACTCAGAAATTGCCGACTGGTATACTTTTGGGTGTTACAAACATCAGCACAAACAGTTAATACCCTCTCCACTATAGTAGCGCAGAGTATTACCTAGCAGTTCGACGGGACAGTCCCAAACTGACCACTTAACCTACCACTTGTGGTGGCCCCTAGTCACCTGACTACCCAGGTGACCAACCATTTTAACATGGGCTTGTCCTACGAGGAAGTCAATCGTCACTCTACACCCTACAAAAATACAGTAAAGAGACGATTGCCTCCGCTCTCGCTTACAAAGGGGATACTAAAATGACGACTGTCTTCATTCTCGTTTACAAAGAGATTATTTGTGACGAAAGACCAAAAACATACGAATTGGAGGTGGTAAGATATTAATGGAACTAAAATTTAAAAATTTCGAGTGTCTACTCTCTAGAATACTATGGGACAATAATGTGACGATTGACCCAAAAGATGGTACTTTCGGAAGTACAACAAAAAAAAAAACAACTTTTAAGAGTATAATCTCTAGGTTACTTGAGGACAGTAAAGAGACGACTGTCTCCGCTCCCGCTTACAAAGAGGACACTAAAGTGACGACTGTCTTCATTCTCGATTACAAAGTGTACATTCGTGACGAATGATCCAAAACATACGAATTACGATCATCCAGGTGGTTAACTATTAGTGGAAATTACTGTCTTTTTCGTATGCATTGACTCTTTGTCGAACTGCTGGGTAATAAGTCCTAGTTATTTGGGGATTACCCCTTAAAACAAAATCTGGCATCACTATTTATTTAATGCACTAAACTTCACCACTGCTGCAAACAACTGAGAATTTTTTCTTTTGCATTTCTTTGTCAGATTTTTTTTCCTATTAGTTTACGTACACGAGTGTGTTTAAAATATGTCACTTATTTATTTATGCATTTGCAATAAAAACAACAACAACAACAAAATACAAAAATTGATTTGAAATCACATAAAAGTAAAAAAAAACATTGAGGAAACTTCAGGAAGAATTAATAGAAAAAAAAGAAAACAAAGAAAATTTTACATTCATACACGGCAACAACAACAATAATAGCACGACTCAAGTTAATAAAATAACAACACCTTGACAACATTGTAAATTGTATGTTAAATGATTGTTTTTATTCTAATGTTGCCAAATCAAATGATCCAATTTCAACTTTGTTTTTATGAATTATTTATATATGATTTTATTAGAATTTCGTTTTTGTTACGAAAAAAGGGATTTTTTCATTTATAAATTAACATATTTTTATATTCTTTACTTTATTTTCAACTAATTCAACTTCGAAAATTTTTCCAGTGCTTGTTATTTTTATAGACAAACGTGTTTTTTTATTCTATTTGTATTTTCTCTCCTCTATCTCCTTTTATTTTTTAATTCCTCTTTATTTAAGCTTTCTTTGCTCGTTTTTTTTCTATTCGTACTTTGCACGTTTTTTCCTTTCTTTCTGTGGCTTTTTTTATGAAATTCACTTGAGCACACTTCACTTAAATATTATATTTTTTTGACTTTGCCTTTAATTTTATTATAAACTTATAAAATTCTTTTGTATTTTTTGCACTTTAATCCGTAATTATCGTTTTAGATTAAACAACAAATGTATAATTAAATTCTCTTTTCTAAGAATATATTTGTGTTGTTTTTTTTCGTATGTAGTTGTTGCTTTAAGTTCACTGTATTCACACAAAATAAACGCGTTTTATTTATCGGTTTTTTGTTCTTTGTATATTTTTGCTTAAAAATTTATTTGCAAAAAGCAAATATTTGTGTTGTATTTCCAAAAAATATCGGTCGACTGATTTCACGAACTTGTCCGTGTTTTTGCATTTGCCTTCATTCGCCTTATTTCACCATACTGACGCATCGAGCAGAGAAACACAAAAATAAAGCAAAAAAACCATCACAACATGTTGCTAAAGTCTCTCTTGCAACATTTGATAAAGCAACAAAAGCTCTTCATTTAGCTTATGTTTATAATTGCTGAAAGCTTTAAATGTTGTTAAAATAAATAAACATGTGCCTAATAAAACAATGCTATTTTATTTTAATTGAATGTTCACACTAGTATGAGAAAAGGAAATTAGAAATAATGGAACAAAAGCTCCATGCTTCTTTCATTTTAAATATTTCCTATTTACTAAAACCACATAATTGTATATCGTTTTGGCTATTAAGGCCTTTAAATAATATTAATACATTTTTGTAATAATTGTTCTATTTTGTACATATTTTTTTTATAAAAATCTGTAAAATCAAGTACTATATATATTAATCAAACAAATTACAATTCTCTTTTTTTATTTTTATTGAAAAAGATTTAAAAAAATCATAAATTTTAAAACGCAACAGATTTCTCTTACCTGTGATATGAAACGTAAACCTGCTCCTCCATTTTCAATAAGCATACGATCCGTAGAATCATTACCGGTTGTCATTAAACAGCCACTGTTGCTAATCAAATTATCATTAGTCTTGCAACTAATGTTGTTAGCAATCGCTGTCATATTCAAATTACCATTATTCAATGTCTCATTCATATTCGTCGTTGGTATGATGGTCATTCCCGGGGGATAATCATCTTCAATGTCCCTAAGGGGCGATAGGGATTCTAGTCGTGGTAAATCTTCTAAATCAATCATCTTTTATGATCATGAATAGAAAAAGTACTGCAAAAAGTATAAGTAAAAAAAGAAATAAAATTTAGTACATTTTTAGAAGAAAATGTGTTCCGATTTCGACCTCTTTTAGAATTATAAAATTTGGTCAGATTGTGACTAGTTTTCCTATAGAAAATTTGGTCAGATTCTGAATAAATTTGCAATAGAAAATTTGGTCAGATTCTGACTAATTTTCCTATAGAAAATTTGATCAGATTCTGACTAATTTTCCTATAGAAAATTTGGTCAGATTCTGACTAATTTTCCTATAGAAAATTTCGTCAGATTCTGACTAATTTTCCTATAGAAAATTTGGTCAGATTCTGACTAATTTTCCTATAGAAAATTTGGTCAGATTCTGACTAATTTTCCTATAGAAAATTTGGTCAGATTCTGACTAATTTTCCTATAGAAAATTTGGTCAGATTCTGACTAATTTTCCTATAGAAAATTTGGTCAGATTCTGACTAATTTTCCTATAGAAAATTTGTCCAGATTCTGACTAATTTTCCTATAGAAAATTTGTCCAGATTCTGACTAACTTTCCTATAGAAAATTTGTCCAGATTCTGACTAACTTTCCTATAGAAAATTTGTCCAGATTCTGACTAATTTTCGTATAGAAAATTTGTCCAGATTCTGACTAATTTTCCTATAGAAAATTTGGTACGATTCTGACTAATTTTCCTATAGAAAATTTGGTACGATTCTGACTAATTTTCCTATAGAAAATTTGGTACGATTCTGACTAATTTTCCTATAGAAAATTTGGTACGATTCTGACTAATTTTCCTATAGAAAATTTGGTCAGATTCTGACTAATTTTCCCATAGAAAATTTGTCCAGATTCTGACTAATTTTCCTATAGAAAATATGGTAAGATTCTGACTAATTTTTTTATAAAAAATTTGGTCAGAATCTGACTAATTTTCTTATAAAAAATTTGGTCAGAATCTGACTAATTTTCCTATAGAAAATTTTTTAAGATTCTGACTAATTTTCCCAAAAAAAATTTGTAAGATTCTGACTAATTTTCTTATAAAAAATTTGGTCAGAATCTGACTAATTTTCTTATAAAAAATTTGGTCAGAATCTGACTAATTTTCTTATAAAAAATTTGGTCAGATTCTGACTAATTTTCCTATAGAAAATTTGGTCAGATTCTGACTAATTTTCCTATAGAAAATTTGGTCAGATTCTGACTAATTTTCCCATAGAAAATTTGGTCAGATTCTGACTAATTTTCCTATAGAAAATTTGGTCAGATTCTGACTAATTTTCCTATAGAAAATTTGGTCAGATTCTGACTAATTTTCCTATAGAAAATTTGGTCAGATTCTGACTAATTTTCCTATAGAAAATTTGGTCAGATTCTGACTAATTTTCCTATAGAAAATTTGGTCAGATTCTGACTAATTTTCTTATAAAAAATTTGGTCAGAATCTGACTAATTTTCTTATATAAAATTTGGTCAGAATTTGATTAATTTTCTTATAGAAAATTTGGTCAGAATTTGATTAATTTTCTTATAGAAAATTTGGTCAGCTTCCGAAGGATTTCCTTAGAGGAAAGTTTCAATACAATAACAATTTCTATGATTTTCCTTAAAGTTTTTTTTTGCAAGTCTCTTAACTTCTTAAAAAAACAAGTCTCTCACTACTTAGACTATTTATTTCGCTATCAAAAAATTTATTCAAGATTCATTAACATCTACGGGATAATTAAAACGTATGTAATTAGTTGTTCAACTATAAAACATTTCATAGACTATTGCAATTCTATTTTATTAAAATCTTCTATAGAATGTCAATATTTTTTCGTAGCTTTTTTGATAAAAACCTGCTAATTTTAAATTTATTTATACATATTTTTTTTTTTTAATTTAAATTTTTGGGAATTTTCAAGTAAATTATTTATTACTTCTTTGGAATAAAAACACAAAAAGCCACTAACACATGTATATAATGAATTGTTTTTATTCAAAATTAATTTGTAGATAAATCAGATATTTTTGTATAAAACCTGTTATTAGCTTTTTCAAAATCTTTTCAAATAAAATTAGCATTTTAAACAGTTCGTAATTTGAATAAATTTTATATTTTATTAAGCTGCAATTAGATGAGAGAGTGAGAGAGAGAGGGTAAAGCACGGAATAAACTTGATTATTTAATCAAATTGATAATGTAACTTGTTTTTTTAAGGGAATGGATTATTATATTTGAATACTGGGAAAAAATTGGGGAATATTAATTTCGGTTAAGTAAGAATCTAAAATTAAAGCTCCCAAAATATAATTGTTGACGACTATATGTATGTATATAAAGAACTTACGAAGATCGAAATATGCTGCAGTTGTATAGGCTAGAATAAGACTAGAATATAGAATAGACTATAGACTAGACTATATAATAGACTATAGACTAGACTATAGACTAGACTATAGACTAGACTATAGACTAGACTATAGACTAGACTATAGACTAGACTATAGACTAGACTATAGACTAGACTATAGACTAGACTATAGACTAGACTAGACTGACTATAGACTAGACTATAGACTAGACTATAGACTAGACTATAGACTAGACTATAGACTAGACTATAGACTAGACTATAGACTAGACTATAGACTAGACTATAGACTAGACTATAGACTAGACTATAGACTAGACTATAGACTAGACTATAGACTAGACTATAGACTAGACTATAGACTAGACTATAGACTAGACTATAGACTAGACTATAGACTAGACTATAGACTAGACTATAGACTAGACTATAGACTAGACTATAGACTAGACTATAGACTAGACTATAGACTAGACTATAGACTAGACTATAGACTAGACTATAGACTAGACTATAGACTAGACTATAGACTAGACTATAGACTAGACTATAGACTAGACTATAGACTAGACTATAGACTAGACTATAGACTAGACTATAGACTAGACTATAGACTAGACTATAGACTAGACTATAGACTAGACTATAGACTAGACTATAGACTAGACTATAGACCTAGACTATAGACTAGACTATAGACTAGACTATAGACTAGACTATAGACTAGACTATAGACTAGACTATAGACTAGACTATAGACTGACTATAGACTAGACTATAGACTAGACTATAGACTAGACTATAGACTAGACTATAGACTAGACTATAGACTAGACTATAGACTAGACTATAGACTAGACTATAGACTAGACTATAGACTAGACTATAGACTAGACTATAGACTAGACTATAGACTAGACTATAGACTAGACTATAGACTAGACTATAGACTAGACTATAGACTAGACTATAGACTAGACTATAGACTAGACTATAGACTAGACTATAGACTAGACTATAGACTAGACTATAGACTAGACTATAGACTAGACTATAGACTAGACTATAGACTAGACTATAGACTAGACTATAGACTAGACTAGACTAGACTATAGACTAGACTATAGACTAGACTATAGACTAGACTATAGACTAGACTATAGACTAGACTATAGACTAGACTATAGACTAGACTATAGACTAGACTATAGACTAGACTATAGACTAGACTGTAGACTAGACTATAGACTAGACTATAGACTAGACTATAGACTAGACTATAGACTAGACTATAGACCAGACTATAGACTAGACTATAGACTAGACTATAGACTAGACTATAGACTAGACTATAGACTAGACTATAGACTAGACTATAGACTAGACTATAGACTAGACTAGACTATAGACTAGACTATAGACTAGACTAGACTATAGACTAGACTATAGACTAGACTATAGACTAGACTATAGACTAGACTATAGACTAGACTATAGACTAGACTATAGACTAGACTATAGACTAGAGACTATACTAGACTATACTAGACTAGACTATAGACTAGACTATAGACTAGACTATAGACTAGACTATAGACTAGACTATAGACTAGACTATAGACTAGACTATAGACTAGACTATAGACTAGACTATAGACTAGACTATAGACTAGACTATAGACTAGACTATAGACTAGACTATAGACTAGACTATAGACTAGACTATAGACTAGACTATAGACTAGACTATAGACTAGACTATAGACTAGACTATAGACTAGACTATAGACTAGACTATAGACTAGACTATAGACTAGACTATAGACTAGACTATAGACTAGACTAGACTAGACTAGACTAGACTATAGACTAGACTATAGACTAGACTATAGACTAGACTATAGACTAGACTATAGACTAGACTATAGACTAGACTATAGACTAGACTATAGACTAGACTATAGACTAGACTATAGACTAGACTATAGACTAGACTATAGACTAGACTATAGACTAGACTATAGACTAGACTATAGACTAGACTATAGACTAGACTATAGACTAGACTATAGACTAGACTATTTTTTACAATAAATATAAATATTAAATGAAATTTATTTAAAACAAATTTCTTTTAATTAATTTTTATCTTTCTACGTGATTAGTTGCATTTCTTTTCAAACTCCTTGGTATATTGTTTAAATAATTTTCAATAGATAAAGTTATTAACTAGCACACTGCTGTCAAATAATAATTATTATTTTAGCGAAATTTTAATCAATCGTCTGGTTTAGCAATTTTTTGATAATTAATTTAATTAGAATGACTTGCCAAATATCGATGTTTTTCAAAATTGTTATTAATAAAAAACCAATATCTGTCAATATTGTTTTTTAGTTACTTTATAACTGAAGTTTTGCTCTCTAAATTTTTGAATTACTACTTTAAATGGAATTTGTTTTATTTAGAACATTTTCCATTCAAAATTTCTACAATAGAGCAGACTATAGTCAATACTGTAGAGTAGACTATAGTTAAAATTATAGGTTAGACTATAGTCAAAACTGTATACTTGAAAGTATTAACATTTTATTTTTTGATATTATCTAAAAAAATTTCTTTTTAATAATTATTGATTAGGGCTGTGAAGCACCC